GAACTTGACAAAAATCGGCAGCCAATTGTGCGACGTTCAAGCGGCGCGCTCAGTACTGTAACACTGGGTTTTTATATTTTGTTTATAATGTATATTTTGTTTATATCGCAAACATGTCGCATCGTGTCGGCACGTTCGCATGTTTCGTAGTATGTACATACATACGTACGCCGCCGCCGGCTCCGCCGTCTTCACGAACTTCTTCCATGCGCTTATCGGGCGTTGGAGAGAGAAAACTTGATAAAATCGGCAACGCACTGTAATTTTATTTATTACGTCATATGCTACATTTGCTATCTATATAAGGCATCGTTCGTGATGATGTGCACGGTGAAGATAGAACCGATAATGTCATCAAAATTAAAAACCATCTGTTTATCGCTTGTACGTGACATTAAAGATATCTAAGAAAGAACAAGGAAAACCAGCGGGTAAATTACAACTATGAATCATGCGTTATTTGTTTGTATTTATGAACTTACAATATAGTAACACAGTATAGTAAATCATTTACTTAATGGAGTTTCTAATGTTATATAATATTTGATTTCACAACTAATTTTGCAAATTGTGATTAATTGTACTTTTTTTAAGTTAAATTAACTTATATAAATTTAACAAAGTTAAATTAAATTCTACTAGGTGTTACAAACATTTTAATATATTAATAAAATGTATACCATAAAATTAACTGAAAGTGATGTAATTACGAATGATGATAATTGATGAATTACGAAAGATGGTAGTGTATTTAATTGATTTAAGCAAAGTGATAGGTATAAAATTGTTGACATATTTTAGTAAGCATCAATATTGAATATTACTTGTCATGTAAAATAATTCGAAATTATATTCATGTTATATAAACAAAAAAAAGATCGTCTCATTCAAGGTGTACCTGGTGATACCTGCCAAAACGATCAGGACCTGAATATCTCGAAAAATATAAGTTTTACAGAAAAGTGTTTCGAGTAAAAATTGTAGGGTTTAAAATTTACTGATCTATTTACTGGTCTTTTATTAGTTTGATCTTGGGTAAACGTGCCGCTCCTAACGTTGTTGGGACACATTGTATATTATGAATACCACCGCTTGACGAGATTGTAAAATATTTTTCCTCCTGAACCGTTCATTTCTAAGGAATTTCCCGGATAAAGATTTTATATAATATAATTAGACTTTGAATTATTACGTATAATTAATAGCTTGTTATTACTAAACCTCTAAAATAAATATAAAATCTATAAAAGGAGACATTTAAATTTAATAAGATATTCAAATTTAAACGAATTGAAATGAACAACATATGTTAATTTCACAGAATGATATTTTATTAAATCCAGCCTCCCATTACTCGACCAGTCGCTTTTGATTTTCCTTGCAATTTTGTAGTTTGATTTGGTGATATTTCTGATTTGCTTTCTTTTACGTCAGATTCAGCGAATTTTTTTATATTAATTTCTTTATTGATTTCTGGGGTCTTCTCTTCAATGTAATCACTGTTATTCTTTTTAATATTTTCTGATTGTTGACATTCCTTTTCATTCTTTACTTTTTCTTCTTGTCTTTGCTCTTCTAATGTCTTGTCTTCGCTTGTTTCTTTCTCTTTTTGTTGTTCTTGCGCATTTTCCTTCATTTCGATTTTCTTTTCCTGATCAGATATTGCTGAAGATGTCGACTGTTTGTTGACTTCTTCTCCTAGAGGATCCTCGGGTATAGGTGATGTTGATCTGACTTCGGAAGCTTTAATATCAAGTACTTTTTCTAGCGCTTTATCCATGCTGTTGCTGCTCGTAGATTTCAATAGATCTTTCTTAAATGTTTCAATAGCGGGTCGTGGAATGTCTGAAGTTTTCGCTATCATAACTTTGCTGCTTCTTCGAGGTGCCGCCTCAGTTGTTGTCGAAGAATTATTTATACCTATATATATATATATATATATATATATATATATATATATATATATATATATATACTATATATATATACTATATATTTGAGAAAAATGGCGTTAAAAAAGCACAAAACGGCAACTTTGAGAGTTTTGTCTCTTTGACGGCGTTTTTCTCAAAATTGTAACGTGATAGCCAACTTTTGCCAATTTCGTATTCAGTGGGCAAAAATACGTCAGAAACGATTATTCGTGCTGCAAAGTGATGTTCCACAGATTGAAGTGGTCGGACCACCATAAAATATTTAACTTCTGATCATTTTGACTGTTATAATCACCTATTGTGATCTTTATTATTCTAAACATTTGAATTTAAATAAATATATTAAACACAGTTGTTAATTTAAATATGCTATTCCACCAAATTTCCGAAAAAGAAATTTTAATTTAAATTTGATAATATAATTTGTAAATCTTTTAAAGAAGTTATCGTTACAAGATGTTACAAGATAGAGCTATTAGAATTTATTTCGATTATATCTCAGCAAATAAAATTTAAATTGCAGAGGAATCAAAGGAGAATCGACAATGGCAATAAAAGATTTGAATGTGAATTTACCTTCAGACTGCTCGTCCAGCTTATTCTTGCTTAGCATAAATTTGGCATAAGCTATTCTAGTAGCCGGTGTAAAATCCGAAAGATTCGGGTTATAATCGACTAGTCGTTTCGGATCCATGGATGCTAGATCGGAATTCGGCTGGTATGCCAGATGGCGACGTAAACTGCGCCGGGTTTGACGTTGCATCGCTTCGTTCGTACTCCCGATAGGATCCATCGTGATGGTACTTTGTCTCACTACGGCGTTCCAATCTCTCTTACCGCTACTGCTCCCTTTTCGTCCAATGGCCTTTGCGATTTGACTAAACACGTCCTTCGGTTCCTTTTCACTTTGAATCACGGCCTGTACGATACCTTCCACTATACCAATTTGAAAATCCTTCTGGAGACGACGTTCCATCACTCTGCCTTTTTTGCCAGGTACTTCAAAAATATACAAAAATATATACATGTCAAAAGTATATTCATTTTTAAAATATGTTACCTTAAACTAGAAAATATTTCTAATTAAACGTAAACACAGTTTTCGAAAGAAAATTAATTATAAACAGCTTTTGAATTTTGTAATTTATTATTAAAGATTGCATTAACTATGCTATTTATATTATCCAATGTACGAAAAAATTTTAAATTGAACAAATATTTTATTTGTACGTATATGTGTATGTATCTTTGACTATTAAAGTAAATTATTAACTATTAAAATAAATGAAAGAGATGACTATTTGTATTTATAAGTCAATTAATATTATGTTACGACAGAACGGTGAGCCGCTCGTCGCCATTGATTGAGAAAGCCCCCGAAAATTGATTGAGAAAGAGAATCGTTCTCTGCCGATGTGACGCGGAATGTTTGGTCTTGCCGTTGTACGAGTTGTTTGTTTTGGGAAAGCGGTTGCGAAAGAGTTGTATTCGTTTATGTTTCCGAAAGATTATTCTTGTGAATTAATAATTCTTGTGTAATAATAAAATTTGCTCCTTTTATAAAACGATCTTTTGCCTCTTTCGCGAGCGATTAAGTGCAAGAGTGGATTCTGCGAGAGCCCGCCGCGAGCGCGACAATTATATAAAATATAAAACAAATTTACAATTCATTGACATTTACATGATTATATAAATATACCGACTATTTGTTTCTTCTTTATCAAGCGCTGGGGTGCACATCCCATTTTTCCTAAGGATATCGATCAAATCATATCGAAAACTGGAAATATCCTGTCGAATTTCTCTGACATCATCCTCTGTAATGCCAAACTCATCTCGCTTCCTTTGTTCAGCTGTCACATAGCGACGTATAAGTAGACGCATTACAGTGTCATGTCTAATCAAAGCCTTTTCTCGAGATTTTTTCTGAAATCATCAGAATCATGCTATTATTTCTGCTGTATAATAATATTCGACTGTATAATAACGATGATAATCAATAATAATCAAATGTTTAATATTCAAATGAATGATTTTATTTAGTATTTGAATCATACTTAAATCACGTAAAAATAATAAAAGCTAAATAATAAATAATAAATAATAAAATAAGTTATCAGGCAATGCATTATTTAAAAGATACTTCAAATTCTTAGTCTTTTACTTTTTCATCTAAAATATTATTTTTTCAGATATGTAAACATTCTTTCTGTGATAGACTGTAGATTGAAATATTATGACTTTATAACTTTTACTTTTCATGCAAAATATTTCGAAAATACCGAATTTTTATTTCACTGCTTTTATAGTTACATTCGGTATTTTTAAAAACTCTAATTTAAACATGACTTTTCTAAATTATTTTTATCATATTTTTTCAAATTGTTTATATTTTTTCAATATTATAAACATTCTTAATTGAACTTTATAATATCATTAAAAAGCATTATCTCAATGAGAAATGATGTGTTGATAAGACGGTGAATCAAAAAATCATATCTATAACACTGATTGAAATCGACGTCGAAAATTTGATTGATTAGGTATTTTTATGTCACTTGAATTAGGTGAGTAAGATGTTTATTTAAACGTTTATAAAAAGTCTGACTACAAAAGTTTATTTAGATAAGCTATAATACTATATAATAAACATATAATTATAACTAGCCTATTAATTTATCTTTTATAAATATTACGAGATAAATAATTTAAAGTAAATGTTGTAAAGTAAATTTGTGTTTTAATAATTAATAATTAAAACAAATTCGCAGTCTAATTAAAATAATTAGACCCGTAGATCACTTAGCTTTTTCTTTCTCTTTCCTTATATCTTATACTTATCGATTCTCTCAAATAAATGCAAAGTAACGCAAATCTGTATCAAGTCTGTATTAATTATATCTGTTTTAATGAAATATACCGTTGTGTAGTTGAATCAGCTTCAAAGTGAATATCAGAGTCAGAATCATTATTTGAAGAAGGTTTTTTAAGCATTTTTGGCTAGTCCTTCAAATATATTTCTTAAAATATTGACATATTATTTAAGAGAGGACCAGAAGTGGAAATGTGCTTTCGAAATATAGTTTGTTGCAAAAGTCTTTTATTTGCTGTTGAAAAAAATAATTGTATAAAATTGTATAAAATCATTGAGAGTCTGATGTTTTTGTTAAAAAATGTAATTCAATAGACAAACAAATACATATATAGCTAGAACCAATGTGTCATATAGATAACAGAGATTCGCAATATATGCGGCAAGATCTTCAGCATCTATTTTTTTTCTTTTTTTAATACATTTAAATAAGTTCAATAAATCATTTCTAAATTTTCGTTCACAACTACGGGTCGTTTACTTACGGATTCAAAAAACGTAGCAGTCAAATAACAATATCTAATTCCCTTAACATTTTAATAATTAGAAACATAAAGGAAATGAAACATAAAGGAAATTGTAAGAAATAAAACTTTAAGAAGTTTTTTAAGTAATATTTTTCACAAAAGTTTCTTATAGATTTCTAATTATTATTAGAATATTGTTGATATTATTAAGAGAATTATTAAATTGAACACTTGACTGTTATATTTCTCGGATTCGTAAGTAAACGATCCATAAATGTATATGAAAAAATTTAGAAATGATTTGTTGAATTTATTTATTGTAATTTAAATAAAAAAAAATAGACTCAAGATTTTGTCCGATTACATATGCTGCGAATTTTTATTGTTTGTAATTTAATAAAAAATATTTTTGCGATTTTGAGACATTCTAAATATTTAATAATATCCATTTACTATGAAAGATGTTGTAGAACGACCAACGCCACCACATTTGCATAGTTTTTGGAAAGTTTTATTCGTTGGGATCATATTGAATGGTGGTGGTACAGTATCGCCATCTTCAAAATAACTCATCCATAAGTGACTTCTAGCAAATTTCCATTCTGTATCAGATCTTTCCTAAAAATATATATACGATAGATCGTAATAATTGACATTGTAAGATATAAAATTTAATTATAAAAGATTTAATAAAGAATATTGTATAAAAATTGAACAATACTTTTATGTAAATCTTTTAATGAAAGTTTTAATAAAAAATTGATAATTTTACCGAAATGATTTGATAAGAATTAGACATCATAGCAATTAGCATATTCAACAACACAATGACATTTATCACGGAATAAGAACCGAACATCAAGAGTGCCCAGAATCGCGTGAAACTCTTAATGCCCGTTAAATCAAATGACATTAAGTCGACCATGCCAAAACTTGCCCAAAAAAGAGATTGTGATGTCTCGAACAAACTGAAAGCATTACTTAAATTTTAGTATCTTCCGCAAAGGATGTATTAAGAAAGTTAGATATACTTGATCTCCGTACTTGGCAAATCTTCTCCATATAGAACAGGCTTTTTCTTGATTATCAAAATCGGGTAACTCCTCAGACGCATGATAACATTTTTTCTTTTCTAAATCCGCATAATACCACATCAACTGATTCATACCTAAGACAAAACATGAATTTGAAACAAAATGTTGTTCTACTTTACATCCATTCCTCCTTACATCGATCTTGTTGAATCAAGAAACTATTAATTTTATCTAGAAAGTAAAATCAAAATAATTTTTTTATTAATATATGCCAAGCGCATAAAAAGTATAGGAACGGCGAAATTTCTCGAAAATTAAGCATTTTAGGGAAAAGTGTTTCAGATATAAAAGTTGTAGATTCAAAAAGATCTACTTACTGATCTTATCACTTTGATCTATATGATCTTGACAACGCCACCTACGGTCAAATTAATAAGATAAGTAAATAGATCTTTCTGAATTTGCAACTTTTTTTTTAAATGCTTAGTTTTCGAGATATTTTACCGTCCCGGTACCTTTTATACTTCCTGTATAACAAAACTCACAAATGAGTAACGGAAATCTTGAGAAAATAACAAGTAATGGAGGAGTAATGGGAGGGCGGGGGAGGGCATATTACTTACCACAGCCAAAGGCAAATAGCACGAGGGTGTAGATGAAGAAAAATTTGATAATGTCTATTATCATCCTCCCGAGGGAAATCTGGAGTGGCCCGAGATGAGGATTTACGCTGAATATATGGACAAGTTTCAAAAAGCTGAAATGTATCCGTGTATACATGAATATTAATCGACAAGAAACATTTTCTAAAAATTTAGAAATTACCTAAATATCATTCCGGCTGCAAATGCTCCTTCTGAAAGCAGCATTGGATCGAAGGCATGCCACTGATCTCTTGGATACCAAGGATCTAAACCATTCCAATATTCTCTCTATTGCGAATCAATACAATCCAACAACAAATTCATAGGAAGAAATAATTATTATATGTAATTTTCTAATAGAAATTGTAATAAAAATGTAATAACATACCTGTACTATCCACCAAGCCGTAACACGCATACTTATCCAGATCACGTAAAATGTATTTTGAATGAAATCCACAATATTCCACAGATCTGATATATATTCAATTAAGCCGTCTGCCCATAAAGATTTAATTTCGCTGATGATTAAACCTACAAACAAACATATTTTATTAAGAATGGAAAAAAGATTATAAATTTTTAATAATTTTTCTCTTAATAGTAATTTACAAGTAATTTAAAAGTTAATAAAGGTTTTCTAATCATTAGAATAAAATCAATTATTTGTGCAATCTCTACATACCAATCCAAATATAAAAATAAAAAATATTTATATACAGGATGCTCAATAAAAATCGAGACTCTGGATTTACTCGGAAGAATGACAATTTTGGAAAAAATCTTTCAGACAAAAGAGATAAGGTTTAAAAATATCTATTTACTAATCTTATCAGTTTGATCTTGGGTGGCCCAGATCAGCTTACAACCTTTATCTGAAATACTTTTTCTAAAAGGGTTAGTTCTTGAAATATTTCGCCGTCCAAGTACTTTTTATATACTTATATTAATATGTATATTAAAATAAAACTTTGAAATAACTTTAAGACTAACAATTTCTATGGATAATTATTTTTTTATGAAGAAGAAGTTGTATCGTTTAATAAGTCCAAAAATATAAGGTCTTATTTAAAAAATTGAGAGCTGCTCTTCTTCCTTTAAAAAAAAAAATAAAAAAGCAAGCATTACTTCATTATATTAAATAATATTTTTTAGTAACTTTAAAGCATTCAAAAAATTCAGCATTATCTTTAGTAGATTTTGAGAAAATATAAAGCTTATAATATTTTGTCTAGTCGATTATAATATGTATTTTAGATGTTTAAATGCTTTCTCTATTAATCATTTATTAATATTCTTTTATCTATTATTTAAGATAGAAAAATTAAAAATTATCTTCCATAATGATATGTTTGGCATTACTTATCACATAGATGATCACGCCTGTCTCAACGAAACCTGGAATACAACCACGTTCTCGTTTCTTCCAACCAGCAAGTATCTCGCGCATCCACTCATTACCAAACAATTCGATTAATAAGTATTCAACCCTTTGTGATGCCATTCCAAGTAGCACTAAAAAGATAAATATATCATTATACTAAATAATTATAATATATTTTAATAAATACGTAACTGTAAAGATTTGTCTTACTTAGAAAAAAAGCGTATGATGCGGAATGACATATAAATTTTACAAATGGTTTCTTCATAAACAATCCCATTTGCGAAGTAGGCGCTATCATATAAATAGCACTATAAACTGGAAACATTGCACCAAGCTTGGCCACTTCCATTAATTGCGCCATCATGCTTTTTCTCCTAAATCCCGGAAGACCGTCATACCAAATAGCAGCTAATAATTGTTGCACGTTTGGATGAGAGACAAACTTTAACAAAATGCATATATTATAAGTATTATATAAAGAATCAAATTTTTTGGAGTGAATGTCGTATGCGTGCATGCGTGCGTGCGTGCGTGTGTGCGTGCGTGCGCACGAATGCTCGTAAGAGCAGTATATCTGACTTCTTTTTCTTTCTTCTCCTTTATATGCGCATGCATATAAAAAACGTTTCTATTTTCTCATATACATATTAATAATAATTTCTTTTGTTAATTTTGCCTTATAAGTAAAATTACTATTTTGTATCATAAGCTGTTACTAATATTACATTTGTCAATTTTTTTTTATGTTTTAAAAATGTAAACAAAAATACATGTAAGAATACAAGATCAAGAAAGAACTTTTATGAATCATAAAATCTACATACTTGCTTTTGTTTATATTTAATAGCCAATTTAAGTCGGTCCAAGGTCTGTCTTTCGCCAGGGTCCCAATTTTCGCCAGTAGGGTTGTAGTTTAACATTACTTCTAATTCATAAGACGTACGCGCGTGATCCAACAAGGCGGTTGCAAATTGCTGCGTTTGCTCCCGCATCTCCTGAATTAATAATAGTAAATTTAAATTTTAAAATTAAACACGTAAGCGTATTTGAAAGAACGTAATACTGAATTAAGCATGCTGAGAATTTAATCATGCTTAATTTAGTGTTTTTATAGATGGAATATATAATGTATTCAATATGCACGTACAAACCTTCATCATAAACCTATACATGTATTTTTTTCTTGTTATTATTCAATAATCTATATTTCAATAGTTGCATTAATATTTGACAAAACTATTTTTAATAAAAGTGAACGTTAGAATATGATATGTTAAGCAGTTTATCTTAATAAAGCAAATTAATCATTTTATCAAATCAAACCAGTGCTCACGTCATGGCTGTTTAATTACGATTAATCTAGTGGGTCTAGATTTAATTTTATGGAATACTATGTCATATGTTAAAAATCAAGATTGTAGGTAATGTAAATTTCAGTTATGATCATTTAGAAGATTTCAAATAACTCAGCAGGAAGAAAGAGAATTGTTAATTTAGATACGTTATATTGAGCGCGAAATTCTTGCTCCATTCTGCTGAGGCGACGCAGTTCCCATGAAAGCTCGAACGCCGTCAAAAGTGGGTCTCTCGATGAAAGCGCAATGAGAGATGACGAAGTGAGTGCTCGGTATGAGTTTATTCGAGATTGCGAATGTCGAAGAGAATCCTGTTCGCTGGAAGTGACGCATTCGTCGCAACCGCATCTACAATAAAATGCTAATGCTAATGCTAATGCTTTTTGTTATCTTTATATAGATTTATTTGATATCGTAAAGATTATAAAAAATAATAAACGTGTAAATATAAAATATAGTGAAAGTTTTTAGTCTTATTAAATATTTATTAAGTTGATAATATTAAAATAACATAATTCAACAAAAAATATCGGCAGAACGAGTCCATTCAATTTCCGTAATTTTTTAAATCCTAAATACGAATCCGATTTTCAAATTGCTCTATCACGTCACAGTTTTGAGAAATTTGTAAGTTAAAATTGCAAAAAGAGCTATGTTCACATGTTTTGTTATATTATAATATATAATGAAAAAGTTTTATTGCAATCAAAATGTCATTAGAACTTTCAATTCTTAAAAGAAATGTTTGTATCATCTATGACTAATAAGATATTTGACAAGTATCATATATATATATATAAATCATATATATATATATATATATATAATATATATATATATATAATATATATATATATATATATATATATATATATATAAATAATAATATAATATATAT